CTCCCTAGACTTACCCAATGGCTGTGAACATTCTAAACTAACACAAGTCTCATTAAGTGTCCAGTTTAAGGGTATTACACAGAAACACACCACAGGAACATGAATCAAATGTATACTTTATTCATTTACAATAAATTCATAATGTACATATCTCCGATTGAAGCTAAGGGCATACAACTGTCTAACAGATTTTAATGAAATATCAAAAAGCTTTTAATAATATTTAAAATCTTAAACCTTAAATATATATAGTCTATCAATGAAACCTGAAACATCACAAATATATCAGTATTTTAAAAGCGCAAAGAAAGCACCAAGGGAACTTTGCACTCGAGGCGCAAAGTGAAGCACATAACTTTTGAAGCAAGACAATTTAAAAAAAAAAAAAAAAAGAAATCAGTAGAAAAGTGTTGAGAAGAAGAGAAGAAAGGAAAAAAGGAAGAGAAGAGATTTGAGAGAGAAAACAGAGCAATAATGCTGGCAGCCCTCTTCACTATTATTTAGAGTCTAAAATAATGAGTACAAAGAACAATATGCCCTTATAGGGCGGCTAACACATAAAACAGCATAAAACAATTAAAATAACTACTCAAAAAGGACCCAACAAGAGTGTTGTGGTCCCCACTTCCTGTCTAAACAATAAATAATCAAAAACTACCACTATAGACTGTTGAAATAGTTTATTTCATTTCTTGTCTATTAATTTTGTCTTGTTAGGGTCCGTTTGGTTGGTTAAAGCCTTTTTTTTATTTTTCTGTTATTATACTTCACTTGCAGCAGGGGCATAAGGGTCTACTAATTGTCTTGTTAGGCGCCGCCAGCACTGTTCTATTGTCACCAATCTCTCTTCTCTTCTTCTCTTCTTCTCTTCTCTTCTCTCTTATTTTCAATCGGCTTTATTGCCAAGACGGTATCAAAGCAAGGTTATTGACTGTGAGAGCAGATCGATCAAGTTTCTTTCTTCTTCAACTTGCTGAATCTGGGCGGAACAGAGAACTGATTCTGGGTTGATCGAATCTGATCTACGATTGGTACAGCCCTATTTTTTCTTTCTTTTCTTTCCTTGGTCGTGTACTAAGAGAAAGAAACAAATGAATCTGAACTACTGGATGTCATCAGACCCATGTGAGATTTATACCTCTTTTGTTTTTGGATTGTGTGATCCTGCACCTGTGAAAAGGTGACTGTAGGTCACAAATGACCTGTTTTCTCTACTTTTTGGCTTGATTTCATGTGTGCAAGGATCTCTCTTAATGATCAATGCTTGTAGACCTTTTGGAAAATTAGTAGGCTGGGACTGTTAACCCATATAGGCCTGAAAGTCAGTTTGATCGTACCTCTTTTTCCGGAAACTGGTGTTGTTCTTGTGCTCAGATTAAGTCCAAAACCGAAGTGTGTGTGGACTGGTCACTTGTGTGTGGAGCAATTTTTTTCTGATAAAAGGAGGGATCCTAAGTTGAGAGTTTAGACTAAAATTCTGTTTTGACCATGTCGTCTAAGAGCTCTGCTACTTCAGGGGTTTCAGGAAGTCAAAATGGAGCGA